TCTTTTTTTTTTTTTTTTTGTCTTTGCCAAAAATATTTTGCTCAAGAAATGATAATTTTATTGATATCAACAATTTATTCAATTAGATTTGATATACAAATGTTTATGGGTGTTATAGGCAAGTCTAGAAATGGGCATTTGGTTAGTGAAAAATTTAATGCTTTGGTAAGTTATTAGTTGAGAGAATCTAACAAAAAAAAAGAAACAAAAAGGTATAGAACAAGTTGGTTAAAAACGGTAATATTGCATTTTATCACTGTTTTATATTCGATGAAGGATTATTTTAGGAAATACGGATAATATGTATAATTTTTTTGTGTGTGGGTGTGTGCGTTTGTATGTCTGTCTGTGTCTGTGTCTGTGTCTGCGTGTGGTGTTCAAAAGTTTATGTTGATATATATTTTTGCTACTTAAGTTTCATGATTTGCCCTTATCATCGTAATAGCGATGCATGTTATTGGGTGCAAAATTTATACATATGTATACATAAGTTTTACTCTGATTTTTTTTTTTTTTTTTTTTGCAAATACTCTGCAGAATATTTTCCTAAAGCTTGTTTTTTCTTTGACGGCTTTTTCAATTCTTTTTTTGCCTTTTTTTATGTTTTATTTTCATTTAAATTTTTTCACTAAAAAAATTTTATTTTATTTGGTCTTTGATAGGTGCTTTATTTAGCTGTGATGATTGATGAGCATATCGGTGCCTACAGTATTTTGTTTTAGTTATATATCATATCTGTAGAGGTATTTTTTTCACTTATATCATTATGTTTTACAAATTTTTTTCTCTGTTTTCTTCTTCTGTTTCTTTTCTGCTTTCAAATTTTTTTTTTTTTCACATATATTATGAATTTTGGTGTTGTTTGGAAACAAAGATCTCGACAAGGGGAAATTTTTGTTTATTCTTGTTGGTTGGTTCGTTTTTCACTTCCACTTTTTTCTCTTCTTTCTTTGTATGTTTCTTACCTTGTTTTCCTCATCTGCTGAATGCAGCAGACAACTGGTTTGGTTGTCGGATGATGAGGAGAGCATTCTGGACAACAAAATCAGTAGGTAGCAGCATTAAGTATAGGAAAATTCTAGATGAACTGCAAACACACACATAAACGCACACATTCACTGATACACATAAATTGTATTATAATTTGGTGATATAAATTGTGAACAAAATAGCTTAAAAGATTTGATTGTAAATTCTATTGTAGCACCAATATAATTCCATCTTGTCGTCTTTTTTTCCGGCTAGATTTTTCTTTATCTTAGATTTTTTTTTCACTTAGAACGGCTCTAATTCAGTTTTATTTCATATTCGCCGGTAGCTCGCCATCAAATTTGTTTATTTGTTTATTTGTTTGTTTTGTTTTGTTTTTATCGAGAGAAACTCAACAGATTTATATTTGCTAATTACTATGATTGTGATTATTATTTTTATCATATTATTGTCAATATGATTATTAGCAACCGTCATGAAAAAATTTGAAGGTTTTGATTATTTGTTTGTAACGGAAATCATGAGATGATACTTGTGCGTGGTATCCTCATTTCCAGCCACTTCTATATTCAGCAACTGCTTTTGCCATTATCTTAGCAATCGATGTGAAATGTTATGATTTGGCAAAATAAGAAAAAGAGAATTTTAGTGTTTTGTGTTTTTCTGTGTTCTGCTTCTTTTTTTTTTGTTTTGTTCAAATAACATTGACCATAAATAAAATTGGCAGAAGAAGAGGAGGAAGAAGCGAAGGAAGAAGAATCAAAGTAAAATGTGGAAAATAGATCTTTATTAAGTTTATGAAGTAAAATTTTTTTTTGTTTTCTGGTTGAAATTTTCTTATTTCTGTAACAGACTTTTTATTGTCGTCATAAGCATCAACTTTTTATTCTTCTAGCTTCCTTCTCATCTTTCGTATGTCCCGTCGTCATCGTTCCCGTTGTCATCTTCTTCATCGTCATCATCGTCATTGTCATCATCATTGTCACTATTCCGTTTTTCTGCCGTGTAGTTTTATGTAATTTTTTTTCTGTTTAATTTTTATTCTGTTCTGTTGAAGGAATAATGACAGTTAGATTTGTATGTATGCAAATAACATTTTTTGACTAGCTAGCAAAAAATGAAATAAAGAAATTTTAAAGTAAACATTCAAACTTCATTGGTATATAACAGTATAAGCAGCAGCAGCAGCAACAACAACAACAACAACACATAACGAGACCAACCTGAATAGCAGCACAGTAAGGTAACAACAGTCGCTATAACACTGGCGACAGCCATAACCGCATTTCATATTCAACAATTAGCGATCATTCATTACTGCAACAGCAGCAGCAGCAACAACGGCGACGACGACGACAACGACGACGACAACGACGATAACAACAACCCAGTGGGACAGCAAGCACTTAGCGATGTATCTACGAGAATAAACAAATCAAAGTTTTTTTTTTTCTTCTTTGAAGAAAAAGCAGAATAACCAGAATTCTTGAAAAA